TCCTCTGTGCTGTAATTTTTACTATGTCACTAGATCATCTTTAATACAGCCATTAGTTAAAAAGGTCTAGATACTTTTACCTATTTTCCTTAAAACCCATACCTTATTTCATGCAGTATATCCTCAGAAGCATCGTTACTAGAGCCTTCTGTATTTCACACACAGCTAAGCTAGTTTTATGTAACACACTATAGTTATTCAACATTTGCAGTTACAGGGGTTATCTGTTTAATCACTACATTATACTATTTTTATCCTTGTAAAGTTCATCCAAACCCCAGTACCTATCATTCTGACTTCTTCTCTTTATTCTCCTATTATCTAACTCAGAATTCGACAGACTCCTCAGACTCCCAATCCAGATAGCCTAGTATGGTATACCTTAGTATTTTTTTCTTTCAGCGATTTTGATAGCCTGGTTGGTCATATACTCCTCTACATATCTTTTCATCCAGTTGCATGTTTGTCTATTCCTTGTTGGGGTTTCCTGAGCTTTTATCAGTTTAATAGCACTATTAAAGGCTTATGCTACTCTTTACTCAGAATTTTCCAAGTAGGTTTCTATCTTCTTGGTTTCTTGATCTTCTATATTTGGTAACCTTATCGTGAGTTTGCATTGAAGTCTTATGTGACATCAGTTATTAACATTTCTCTATGTACATGTAACATTACACTTCGCATAGATGCTTCAAGCTCTTAATAACAAGTAGAACCTGATTGGTTGTATCCAAGATTACAGATACCTAAATCCAACTGATCAACAAAAGACAGTTTACCATAATACAGATATAATTATCAAATTTCGTCGTAGGTGGGATTTGAACCTTAGATCTGCCATTTGAAGGATGACAACTCAACTACTACACTAGAATTACTATTCTTTCTGCACAACACTTTATATAACAGAATTTTTTATAATATTATTATATATAGTATCTTCTTTCTGCAAAGTTGATCTTCTTCTAAGAATTTTCAATTTATTTTTATATTTTATTTTAAAACTTTCTACAAGATTTCACATCTGATTTAACTTTTATTTTAAGTTATATAGTTTAAAATCTTTAGATTTTACTTTTAGCTTGATTTAAATTGTTGATCTTATTTATAAGAAATTAACAGTTATTTATAAGAAATTAACAGTTATTTATAAGAAATTAACAGTTTAATTATTAAATTATAGAATCTAATCTCTATTCTAATGTTTAAAAATTCATATTTTAATGAGTTTTTACTTAATTTTAGTAATTCTACTATCATTAGAATCAGAAAAACTTAGTTTATAACTTTACTTAATAATTTAAATTAGTTTATTTAATATAATTTTTATAAAATTAAATATAAAAAAATACCATTAGGTTTATATATAATTTTAAAATAGTACACTTTATTCTTAAAATTAGATGAATTTGATTTTATTTATTAGTTTATAAAATATTATTAATTAAAAGTTTGTGTAAAAATGTTTTTGATTTAATACAATACTTAATTTAATATAAAATAAGATTTTGAAATATTAATATAAAATAATGGATAACTTTTGATAGACTGATCCGTTTTAAATAATTTTATCACCAAAATGATCGCCTTGGAAAGACGATTTCAACGAGCCTAAAATCGCTAAAATCTGATCGCAGGAACACGAGATCGGTAAAGTTTACGTATCATTTTTGATGAAAATAGACTAAATTAATTTAATCTTAACGATCTCGTGACCCCATGATCAAATTTTAGCGATTTTAGGCTTGTTGGAATCGTCTCTTCAAGACGGTTATTTTGACATTAAAATTATTAAAAATGAACCAGTCTATCAAAGTTATTCTCTGTTTTATATTAATTTCAAAATTTTTAAAGATTATTATGAACAGCTTATTTTAGTTAAATGATATCTCGTGAACCATTGAACAGAATCACATGCTTTTGGTATCATTCGATTCGTCTAATCGAGACGAGTCGAACGGTACAGAAATCACGCGAATACAATCAGTAGATTCTGAAATATCTTAAATGTGACGAATTAAGCACTGCGTTAAATTAGGCATATCTACATTATAAAGTTTATAATAAAAAATTAATTTAATTGTTACTAGTGGTAATATACTACGTACGTATGTATTAGACTAACCAAATCATATAATAGAATTAAAACAAATACTAAAATTAATTATTATTAAAATCCAAGTTAAAGTTATATTTTAGATTATAATAAGGCATACTTTCTAGTAAAACTTTTTAAAAAATGTTTCAATTAAAACACAGAGTAGTTTCGTAGGAATTTTAATGGTTTCTTTGGGGGTTACACCTGATTTCGTGAAGTGATTTCGTGAAGTGATTGGCCAATTGCAACTCACCTCCGGTGTTTTATTAACATGATATATTAAATAAAAAATGGGGTTAAACCAATTCTAGATTAGTTAACAAAAATTAAATTTGTTCTTTTTCTTAGTAGTTTTATATTACAATTAATCTTGGATTCTAATTTGCTAGAATTATTATCACGTTATTAAAATATTAAAACATACCGATACGTACTTATGTACGTACGTAGCAGTAAAATTCTATTTAATGGGTATATAGTAAATTAGTACGGTACGGAAACGTAATTTGCGACGGACATGTGGAAATCATGATAGTACATATGGTTTGTAAAAGAAAAAATTCTTTCGAGACAAAGCTAATTTTCCTATAACCTTACACGAAAAAAGAATTAAACATCAAAAAAGGGATTACTTAGGTCCCCTCTTTCATTTGGCATGAGGATGTGACGAATCATCGGTGTGGCGAGTAAGCCTTAGCCAAATAATTATATTAAATAATGCTTATTAGCCACATCCAATGATTCGTAGCATCATTGTACCATGGACTTATATGTAAAAAAATTTAATTTTACAAACCTAGATTAACCGTACTACGTATCAATTTTCGTACGTCCGTACTACTAACTACCTCCAATGAGACTCGGATAAATTTTGATACGTACGTACATACGTACGTTAATCGGTTTGCAAAAAATATAATATCGATATGTAAATACATAATAAAATTTTTTTACGTAACGGTAACGTTTAACCGGAAATTTCTATACGTAGATACATTTTACAGATACATTTTACAGATACGTATACATTTTACAGTTACATAACATAACAACCGTTACTCGGCATTTCATTTTATGCACGTGAGTTCACACGTTGGTCCGGATTAATTTAAATCCGCATCGATGTATCGGTATGAACTCACGCGCATAAAATTTTAAGAGTTAACCGATAGATCACAGTTAAAGGAAGAGTGAAGTGACGTTATGACAGCGGCACCATAATAAAATTGATATAGTAAAAACACTTTTTAACACTTTACAAGTATTAGAACACTATGATGCCTTATCGAAATTCCTATAATCGGGCATGCGCCCCTTCTGTACGTAAAAAATTGACCAATTAAAAAACAAACAACAAATGGAACATAACTACGTATTAACGCTAAACATATGTAAGATGGTATGTATATCGATACGCATACATAGCAATATGTAGTAATAGAGTAAACAAATCTATCAGATAAACTTAGCCTAAAAAATTAAATATTTATAATATGTATAAATTATCAAAGTGATACATAGATATGTATGTATTTTGTGTTTCAGATATCGAAATGATCCAAATGTCAATATGGCCAAACTATCAACCTAAAAATTTAACAAAATGACATTTTGGCTGTCAATCTTGACAAATATAAAACATTGAATGTACGCAAAGTACGTAAGTCGTATGAAGGTAAGTATGAAGATAAAAATTATATAATATATTATATAGTATATAGAAGATATATATATTTATAGTATATAGAAGATATATATTATATTTATAGTATATGTGTGTAAATAGGATTATAAATAAGATTATAAATAGGATTATAATAGGTTAATAATAGAATAATAGTAGGTTAATAGTAGGTTAATACATACTGTAATATAACGATAAGATATATTCATAGTTCTAACAATAGATTAGTTCTACACACGCTGTTACCGATACCGATACATGTATAAGCAAGTATTTATTGCAGTGTAGCATTAACAGACCAATAAAAGAGATTTAGTACAGACAACAAGCAGGTATCGGCATTTTCAGGATTACACTATAAACAGTAACTTTATACACAGTATACATTATTATATACAAACAATATAAATAATAGTAGTATAGAGTAAATAATATAAAGAATATAATCTATAAAATAATAATCTATAAAATAATAATATATAGAATAATAATATATCAATACGTATAGAATATAGTAATGATAATAGTAATAGAAAAGATCAACCCCCTCAATTTTGTACTGCCTCCTCGAGGTAACCATGATCTCCTCTTACTAAGAGAGAAAAAAAAGTCAGTTGGGTACACAAACAGGAGAGCGAATGCCAAATTTAATCAACTGATACCGTCATTTCCGATATTTTATTTCATCATCTGGGATCTTTATTAAGGCGCGATTTTCCCATTTTTTTGTTTAAATTTTCTAAATTTTCTTTACATGCGCACACAACAAACGCCTCTTTACATGATTTTTCACAACAGATTTACGGTTTCGTTAATATCCACGTTATTTCATCATCATCACATTCAACGTTTATCAATTTCGGCTACGACACCTAAAAAGAAGTTCGACAAACATCTGAGAGAGGACAGAATATAAACTACATAAAATCTACACAATAATCTTTTTTTTTCACAAACAAGTTCTTTGCAAGAAATTTTTTTTTTTTTCACTAAACAATATTTAACAATATTATAATAATATTACAATCATATTGCGATAATATTACAATAATATTACAATATTGTTAAACAAAATACCGATATCGATATCAAGAAACCAATATTAAAACTTTATTAAAACAAAAAAAAATATTAAAATTATTATTACAAACCTTAAAAAAAAATTCCGACCGAAATAACCAACGAAATAACCAACGAAATAACCAAAATAGAGAATTTTCAATGGTACATAAAAAACAACCACCGAAACAAGAACAAAGTACCTACTCTCCTTATTACTATCCGAATTTCTCTAGGTACAACTACCCTTCAAAGATTGGAGATGAGGAAGTATATACGGAACCAAAATTTTCATTTCCTCATTGGGATGACGAAGTTTCAGGATATACTCCACTTCGTAGACGAGCCTCTTTTCCCTCGGGTTATGGAAACACCGAGGAATATATTAATAATAAAGATTTAAATGAATTAATTAATACAACATCATCAACTAAAAATCAAGAATTAACAGAAATTGAACAAGAAGATGAAGGAGAGGTAACATGTGATCAAATTCAAACTGATATCGAGCTTGCACGTCGAGATCAAAAGACTGATTATGAGCAATTTCGTAAAGCTCATGCAACTTTACATGATGATATTCGTGCTTTACAACAAGAAATAGAAAAATTTGAAGCAGTATGCATGTCATCCGGATGGAATTCAACAAAAGATCGAGATGTTCGACAATCTGAACCAACATCTACAGTAACTGGATCTCTAATGGCAGCAGCAGTGTTTAATGGTCCTGGTCGTACATTAGCATCACAATCAGCTACTGCAGCCGCACGTGGTCAACGTCAACGTAAAACAAGGCATAATCGTGCGGAGAGTTTTAGTGTTAGTAGTGTTAGTGGGAGTAAACCAACTAGATGTATAGGTGCTGAAGATGGTTGGTCACAAGATAAAGTGCGTCAAAATGAATGGATTCGATGTTAATAATAGCTATGCTAATAACCACGTTTAATAATCATATTAATAACCATGTTAATAATCATATTAATAACCATGTTAATAATTAAGATTTCTCTTTTTTTTTAAGCTTTCACTTTATTCTCGTTTCATTCTCGCTTTATTCTCTTTTATGTCTTTTAAATGGTGGAAAGAACAAATTTATAAAATTTGTCTACGCTGGACATTGAAATATATGATTTCTTTTTTACAATAGAATTCATTTTCTTTTCTTTATAATTCATTTCTTTCCTCTCTTTCTTTCTGTACATATAACCCTCTTTTTTCCTTTTTTTCTCTTTCTTTTCTTAGTACATAATGTATATAAAATTCACTTAAACATAACAAGTATAATATTCTAATAATTAAAAGAACTTTGCAAAATAAATTTGCTCGTTCATGCTTAATTTGTATCTCATCGTCATATTATAATATTAATTTACATTGATATGGCTAAAGTGATAATCTTAATATAGTAGATGATCCGAAAAAATATGTTTCAAATGCAAGGGTCCTTACCCTATATATCTAATGTTATATGTAAAAATTTATACTCAATCCAATGGGATTCAATGGGATTTAATAGAATAAAATAGAATAGAATAGATTTCAATGAATTCAATAGAATTCAGTCAATGAAGTCAATGAATTAAATGACGCACAAATCTTAACTAAACGAAATCTCTCTGTAAATGGTGCCTGCAAGAATTTCATGCACATCTTTGATTGTTAAACAACGAAAAACTTTTTTTTTAATCCTTAAATTAGTATTTTTTTTTAAACTTCGGACAAATAAAATATCGAATCCTAATTTGATCTAACTTACTTTACCTTTCTACATTAACTTTTCTAGTTGCTCATTTGTCTGTGCATTAACTTTTCTAGATAATTATTTCTGTACATTAACTTTTCTAGATAATTATTTGTTAAAACATGTGATTTCACAATTTCGATATCGATATCGATATGTTACATGCTTCTTAAATTCGAATACATTCTTAATTATTATGTATCGTTATGTATCGCATGTACATACCGATACATACTTATCGTATCGTATGTAATGTATATATAAAGTCAACAAGCAGTTAATCCTATCACTACGTTTTATGTCAATAGTATTACAATAGTAATGATTGACTGTACTTACACTACACTATCTCTAAACCATGTCCAAGTGATATGTAGACTTCAAATGAACTTTTCTAATTATTTCATTATTCTCATTACATTAATTCCTATATCATTGATATTAATTGCTATTAATTCCTATATTTTCATTATACGTATTATCTATTATTAATTACTATTAATTACTATATATTAATTACTATCTAGATATATATATTATCTATATATATAATTTTTTATTTTTTTTTATGATTCATACGTATCAATAATACTGTATAACATACTTAAGCTGGGCATTGCATAATCAAGCATTTACTTTGTTACTTTGTTACTTTGTTCAGAAATAATGTTTTTCGTTAACATTTCTGACAATACTTTCTTCGGATAATACTTAATTTCTCATCGTTAAGAATATATGCTACATAACAATAAATATATTTAATACATATTTACTATATATACTTATTTTCTGCTCTCCGTAAATTAAATTATCTCGATTCGATAATTTTGACCGATCTAAAAAACCTAATTTCATCTTTCCATATGCAGATAAATTATATATCGATATGTAGTCTGAGAATACATACTTATTCCCCAGATTCTTGTAAGATATTGTCGTTATATCGATATTATCATTTACCGAATCATGAAAAAACACGTGAAAACCCCGCATGTAAATCCTGATGAGTTGTGACAAATCGGTACAATTTTAGGACAATAGATACATCATTTACATATCGAATTATGTATTATTATTATTTGTTTTTTTTTTTTTTAATCTTCCCATATGGCTGTTCTAAACCTTTCTTTTAAATTAATTAATTATGTAGAATGCATAATCCATCTGTTTGTTCGATTACTATTATCGTTATATTACGTACGTAACGTACGTAACGTATCCTATCGTATCGGTATACTCTTTTATTAAATCAATTTTTTTTCATAACCTAATAAATTTTTAGTTTTAGATATAAAACCTGATATAAACCGGATAACTAAAAAAAAAAAAAAATTTATAAATTTGGATTAATTATTATTATTAATTAAACAAATTATATAAAATAGGTTATATCCTATTATGGATTAGATATCATATGCACGTATGTACTAACTTTGATTAAATTCATTTACGTATAACGTCTCTCTTCACCGAGTTTAGCTATAAAAGGTGTAATAATGGGTTCCTTTCTGAGATTATAACCTGATTTCCTTTTTTCCCTTCAATCTATAACATTACTTATTTGGTTTCAACCCTTGTTGTCGTTGCACGAATTCTAAAATGCAAATTTTCGCTTTTTGATTATCAACTAAATGTTAAAAATTTGCTATTGGCTGTGCTTATCTAAATGAATTTTAACTTGACTTTTGCTAATTATCTTACTTGTCATTGTTTACATTTTTCATTTTCAATTTTTTACACTCATATTTATTAAACATGATATTTTAATCAATTGACAACTTATGTTTACTTCTGAAAAACAAATTTTATTAATATAAAAGGTTTAATTTTTAATATTGGTAAAAATATAATAGAATATGCAAGTTTGTTTAAGTCTGTTTGATTTTTTTACAGTAATAATAATAAAAGCATTAATAAAAAAATAACCATTACAGAAAAAAAAAATTTAATTAAATTAAAAATATATATACTAAAAAATCAAATAAATAATTACAATAATAAAATTAAAATTTCATTTTTAATAACAATGTTAAAAAAATTATCAAACATAAAACCAGTTATAAAAATTCTAAAACTTTTTTTACTAATTATTAAAAATATATAAATTTAAAAAAAAAAATAAAAATAAAAATTATTTTTTTAAAAAAAGTTTAAAATAATAAATATATATAAAAAATTAATAAATACAAAAACAATAAATATAAAAAAACTAACAATTACTATAAAAAATTAAATCAATTTTTTAAAAACTTGGTTACATTATAGCAAACAAGCAAATAACAAATATATAACTATACTTTAATTTTTATATTTTAAATTTTAATTTAAATTTTTATAAATATATAACTATATATTAATATATATTTTAAATCTTAATTTAAATTTTTATAATATAAATAATTAAAATAATAAAATAAAATTGTAATAAATAATATAAATATAACTTAAAAATATTGTTACAACTTTTTAAAAATCTTTACAAAATTTTTAAATATATAAAAAAATATATTCTGTTAAATAACAATATGATATTATATATATTTTAAAACATAATAACAATTATTATCCCTTAGATTATAGTTTTCACAAGCAAATTTGCCTACATAATTGTATTTATTTGACTTTGATCTATTTTTTTAAAATGTTAAAGTATCTAAATAAAATTTGATATAATAATATTTAAAAATAAAGATTACTTTTT